CTCACCTTACCAACCGGTTTTGTAGGGTTGAGTTAGGCCTAACCACATTTTCTTAACATGGTATCAAGATCCTCGTTTAAGATCTGGTGGAACACCTTTTATGGTTTCCGCTATTGGGCCACCCACCATTTATTTTCATGTTCCAGTTGTCTAGTCCTGAGCGTGAGGGGGTGTGTTAAGAGTCCCACATCGGATAATATATGACATGAACATGTCTTTATAAGTGGGGGCAATCCTTTACTTTACCAACCGACTTTGTAGGGTTGAGTTAAGCCCAACCACATTTTCTTAACATATTTGATTCAAAATCATCATCACCATCAACAATTGTAACACAACTCATAAGAACACCACTTTTATGAATACAAACATCAAATTTTCATGGTAAATTAGTGCACGAAATTCATGATAATTATAGGAATCACATCATGTTATCATAATAATTTCATCCATATCACCCAACATTCAACAAAGGAAGAAAATAGGGAAAACCTAATAGAGATTAACGACTTCTCCCTATCCCATCATACAATTGACACCATATTTAAAGTAATCCCCCCTTACCTTGGATTTCTAGCTGCAACTCTAAGCTTAACTATGGTGATTTCCTCCCAAATCCTTGTTCTCACTTTGCCTCTTGTCCCAAAACAATACGTACTGACTACTCTTAGGTTTCCTAATCCTTTTTTATTAAAAACCTAATTTAATCTTCTAATAATTACACTTTGGTCCCATCTTATTATAATTTTCACCATCTATCTCATTTTCCTCGTAGTTTCTATTTTCCACCCAAAATCTCTATTTTCTATTTAATTTTAATACTATTTAATTATCTAATTATTTAACTAAATAACAACACTTTTCTACCAAATCCAACATAACATAAACATGTCAAAATATCATGTCAAAATATCAATTCATCAATTCAATACATATATAATTCATTTAAATAAATAAATAAAGGATAAATTCAATTAAATAAATAATCTTAAGAAAACGGAGTGTTACAAAGGACATTTGAGAATTCCAGCAATCTAGAATGGTTAATTTACTATATTAAGATTAAGCTTTCTTCCAGAATCTGTTTTCTCAGTCTGAGGCGGGCTTTCGCGGGCAGCGAGTTTTGGCGGACGAAATTTGGCAGGTGGCTAGTTTCTCAGTCTGAGGCGGGCTTTTGCGGGCGGCGGGTTTTGGCGGGTGGCGGTCTTTAGTGGACGGCGGGTCCAAAATCCCAACCCAACCCGCCATTTTGTGGCAAATGCGCGGGCTGCGCTGGCGGGCCACGACCCGTTTTGCTACCCCTACTTGACACTCTTAGGTTCTGTAGTAACTGAGAGTAGTGTTAAGAAATGTGGTTGGGCCCTAACTCAACCCTACAAAACTGGTTGATAGAGTGAGGATTACCCCACTTATAAACACATGTTCCTGTCATATATTATCCGATGTGGGACTCTTAACACATCCCCTCACGCTCAGGACTAGACAGCTGGAGTGTGGAAATAAATGGTGGGTGACCCGATAGCAGAAACCATAGAAGGTGGCCCACCGGATCTTAAACGAGGCTCTGATACCATGTTAAGAAATGTGATTGAGTCTAACTCAACCCTACAAAACCGGTCGGTAGAGTGAAGATTGCCCCCACTTATAAAAACATGTTCATGCCATATATTATCCGATGTGAGACTCTTAACAAGTAGTTTGGGTTCCAATATGGGTTGAACAAATCCAGACTTAACCCTAGTTTGCATTTGATGATAACTATGAGGTGGAGGAACTGGTACAACTGTAGGTGGAATGGGAGGACTGGCAGTAGAGAAAGTGGAATATGTTGAGGTGCTATTCTGAGTTGCAGAAGAGGAAGTCCCTGAGGGAGCATCAATATGAGTAGCCTGGTCTGAAGTAATAACTTGGGAACCAGATGAAGAACTATAAGACTGAGGTGTATGGGACTAAGGTGATTGCTGGGAAGTGCCAGTGGAATCAGTGGACTCAAGGGACTGAGGAGATGGAACTGAAGAAGAAGCAATAGGACTCGGAGGAAGGACAATGGTAGGTCCAGAAGAAGGAATATTGTCAGAGATACTAGGCAGAGGTGAAAGAGTGACACATTTGGTTGAAGGGGAAGAGGAAATAGGAGGAATAAATAATTCAGGATATGGAAACCTGAATTCATTGAAGAGGACATCTTTTGAAATGTAAATTCTTCCAGTGGAGGCAAAACATCTATACCCTTTATGAGAGGAAGAGTAACCAAGAAATACACACTCTTGGGACCTAAAATCCAACTTATGACTATTGTAGGGCTTGAGAAGTGGAAATCAGGCACAACCAAACACTCTTAAGAAGACAGTGAATTATACAACAGAACATAAGGAATCTGAAACTTAATAGAAGATGAAGGAAGCCTATTGATAAGGTACACAGAAGTGGAGAAAGTATAATCCCAATAGGTAAGTGGAAGTGAGGCATGACTCAACAAAGTAAGTCCCATATCCACTATATGCCTATGCTTTCTTTCAGCCACACCTTTCTGATGATGTGTACGAGGATAGATTAGCCTATTAATATTGCCATTATTTTTGAGAAATTGAGAGAAAGGCCTGAATTCACCACCCCAATCTGACTGAACAACCTTAATAGGATAACCAAATTGATGTTCCACTAGCTTCTTAAATTGTTGAAATGTAGCAAGTGCTTCAGCTTTAGTTTTGAGAAAATAAATCCAAGTAAACTTGAAATAAACATCAACAAAGGACATATAATACTTGAAACCAGAAGTAGAAGAGTGAGGTGAGGGACCCCATAGGTCACTGAAAATAAGTTCAAGTGGTGATGTGTATGTAGTGTGTGAATCAGGTGAGTGAAGTTTGTGTGCTTTACCCATACAACAAGCTGAGCAGAAATCATCAAGTTCTTTATTGGGAAAAGGAACATTACAAGCTTGCATAATAAGTTTCAATACATGAGAATTAGGGTGGCCTAGTCTAAGATGCCACTTATTTGGTGCACTAGAATTCAAAGCAGCTATATTAATAGTGGAATTACATTGTTCAGCCAAACTAAGACTAGGTATAGTAGAGGGCAGAACAGAAGAACCAGACAGGTTGATGGAGGGAAACTCATAGAGACCATCCTTGCCAACACTGCCTTCAAGAAGAGTAGCCTTAGAGACATGTGATTGAATAATACATTTGTCAGCAATGAAGATGAAATGCACATTATTATCTCTACAAAATTGACTGACACTGTAGATTCTTAATGATATTAGGAATAAGTAAAAGATTGTGCAGTATAAGTGATGTGTGAGGCTGAAATGGTGAAGGAAAAACACTTGAACCACAAGATTGTATATGCACACCTTGACCATTTCCCATGAAGATTTTGTCAGGACCTTCAAAAGGAGTCATCTGCTGCAGATTTTTGGCCTCATTAGTGACATGAAATGAAGCACCAGAATCAGGAAACCATGAGCCTAAGGTAGATGATGCTGAGTTAGCAACCAAGGCACTAGGAGCATGAGATAAGGCTGAGGGACTTCTTGGCTATTAAGGAGGTCTAGTCCAAACATTGTGAGGAGTGCCAATGTAGCCATAGGGTGAAGCCAACCATTGCTGAGGGTTATAGGAAGTAGCTGTTGCAGGGGGAATCTGATAGTTCTGATGAAACCTGTACCAGCAATTGAGAGCAATGTGGCCATGCTTAGAGCACACTTGGCATTGAATGTGAGAGTTGGAATTTCTGCCTCTGCCTCTACCAAACCTACCACCACGTGAGCCTCTTGAACCACGAGATTGATTGAAATCCTGTTCAGGAGCTTGTGTAGGAACTGGAGCTGGTGTAGAATCAACACTAGCAGTCTGAGTTTCATCATTAGGTTTAGTACCAGCTGGAGTTTAAGCAAGATTAAGAGAAATAAGATCTGAAGTGGTAGATTTCTTGAATTTATATTAAGGCGAAGCTCAAGAGCTAAAAGCAGAATTTCTACTTCATCTAAGTTCATTAAACCAAACTTACTCTCAATAACTGACACAACAGGAGCAAATTCTGATGGATGACCTTCAAGAATTACATCTATATGATGTGAGGCAGGGGTAGGATCACCAATGGAAGCAAGTGCAACTACAATGGTGCGTACCTTGAGTAGATACTCTTGAACCGTGGAAGTATCAAGAGTTAGAGCACGCAGTTCCACACGTAACTGCCTTGCACGTGCACGAGTTTGCTTCTGGAAATAGTTGAATAAGTGATCCCAAAGTTGATGAGAGTGACAACAGCCAAGCACACACGAAAGAATTTCATTGGACAGTGTGGATTGCAACCACGAAAGCAGCATTTGATCATTTTGCAGCCAGCGAGAATACTCAGGATTGATGATTCCAGCTTCGTGAGCTTCATCATCGACAAACTGCAACGGAATATTTGAGCAAACGACGAACTCAGTGAGGTTATGCGCATTTATGTATGGTTCAATTTGCTGACGCCATAGATGAAAGTTCTTTTCATCTAGTTTCTGCGAAATCTTGAGCGAAAACTGGAGGCGATGAGGATCCGCGGTAGAAGCGACGGTGACCGGTGAAGAAACCAGCGGTTCTTGCGCAGAGGAGGCTGGCGTTCCCTCCGGTGTAGGAGTCGCAGCCATGAGAAGGTTCTAGGTCGAACCAGAGCTAAACTGATATCATATTAGAAAGTGAAGAGAGAGAGAGAGACTTTTCATTTCTGTAACTTTGATTTCTGTTATTGATTATATGATGATTAGTTACAATTGGTTTCCTTTTATACAATGCAGATACTAACCTGCTAGTAACAAACTAAGTGACCTGCACTAGCAGGTTTTACAAATAACAGAATAACCCGAAGTAGCAGATTCTAAACTAACTAGAGACCTGTAGTGACAGGTTACAAATACTACTCAGACTGACACATGTCAGTTCTGAGTTTACAATACTGCATTACTCTAATACTACATATTTGTATAATTATATTGTATTCATTCTTCGCAGGTCTTGCCTTGATGATGATGAGGCATTTTTGACAACTGCAGATTCAGCAATAAGGCTGCTCTCTAAAGCAGCTAGGACAGTTAGAGAGTGGAAGGGTCTGGAATACAGAGCAGCATTCCCAATCCTTAAACCTGCCGGTGCTAATTTCTACCCCCCTGACATGGACAAAATGGTACCATAGAAAAATTCAGATTTGATTGGTTTGTGACTAGACATGATTTGTGATAGAATATCATGATGCCTGATCTATGGAACCAATCCCATAGTGAGAAAGGATTTTTCTCATCATGTAAAGAAGCTATTTTATCAAAACATTTGGTTTGATTTATAAAATAAGATGAAAACTTCTGTTTTGCAGGAGTTCAATTTATGGAATGACAGTCTAGCAAAGGATCAACAGACAGAGGCAGCAAGCTTTTTCACTGTTATTAAAAGGCACAGTGAGTTTATTTTAGATTCTGGTCTGTCCAATGATAAAGTAGCTTCTTCTAAGGATCTGTACATAGTTCCTTATTCTCAAGAATACAAGTCTCTTCTTGTAAAAGCTGCTAAATTATTGCATAAAGCTGGAGACATTACTAACTCAACAAGGTATATTGTTCTTTCATCCATTCCCTTATAATTTAAGAGGTCAATTTTCAGCTACTTGCTAAACTACTTACGTTGTTGGTCAATAACGCTTTGTTTCCAAGTGTAGTTTGAAGAAGCTGCTACATAGCAAGGCTGATGCTTTCCTTTCAAATGATTATTATGAGTCTGACATAGCCTGGATGGAATTGGTTAGTCAATACTGTCTAGTTAGCTTTTATGATCCAAAAAATAGTAGTTGTCAAGCTGGTGAGATGTGTTGCGAACGGTATCTATTCAAAGTAATGGTAGGAAGTTTATTAAAAGAACTGAAATAAAGAATGACAGCTTTTACTAATGTTCTTTTACATTTGTCCCTATTCACGTAGTCATACATGACATGGAAACACTACACTGCCTAATACTTTTTTATCAATCTATGAACATGGCATTGGTTAATGATTCTTCATTACTATTATTGTCTCCTTTTAAATGGTGCTTGTTTCTAGAATAAGGGTTTGTTCCTAGAATAAGGGAAATAAATCAGAAATTGATTTATTCTCATTAAATGTGATTATTTAGTGTAATTAGCTGTATAGCCCTATAACCTTTATATATACAAGAAATAATAATGAGAAAGGCAAGAAGCCAGAATTTATTGACATGGTATCAGCCTAATCGGTTGAACCGGTGATGTTTTTGGTTGTGATTGTTCGCTCGAGTTTTGGTGTTCATCGTTTCTGGGTCGTTATCGATCACCGTGGAATTCATTTCGTGCGGATTCATACAATTGCCGTGGTAATTATCTTTTGGATTTAGGGTTTCGTTTTGCTTTGTGATCCTTTCACTAGTCCTGATTCTGGGTCGTGACTGCGGTTTTGCTGTTGCAACCTTGATTCTTGGTTCCTTGGTTCTTGTTGCTCGTGGTTCTTGATTGTTCTGCCACTCCTTCCAATTCCAATTCCTGGTGCTGAATTTTTTTGCTACTGTTCGTGGGTTTGCGGTTTCTAATTATTGATCAAAGCTTGTGTACGTGAGTTTGTTCTTGTTGCTGTAGGTGGGTTTACTGTAAGTGGTTGGTCAAACCTTGCTTGTTTCTAATTGGTTGGAAATTGTTTCATTGCTTTGATTGTTATTATTATAATAACTATTATAATAATAAAATTATTGGTGAGATTGTATCTAGTAGCATAATATTTCAGATGGCCTCCGAAAAAGAAAGAGATAATTTTTGTGTTCGTTTTACCGGCAAGAATTATTCTGCATGGGAATTTCAGTTCAAGATGTATGTTAAAGGAAATGGATTATGGAGTCACCTAGATGACGTATCTAAAGCACCGATGTAGAAAACAACTTTAGATGCGCGGGAAACTAAATAGGCTCAAATCATCACTTGGATTTTCAGTAGTATTGATTCTCATATGATCAATAATTTGCGCTCTTATTCAACTACTCAAGAAATGTGAAATTATCTGAATCACATTTACAACTAGGACAATTCGACAAAACGTTTTCAATTGGAGCTAGACATAGCCAACTACAAACAAGGTGATTTGTCTATTCAAGAATATTATTCTGGTTTTTTGAGTTTGTGGACAAAACACTCTGCTCTTATACATGCCGATGTTCCCAAGACTTCTCTCGCGACTATTCAAAAAGTCTACTACACAAGTAGTCGAGATCAATTTCTCATGAAAGTTTGCCCAGAATTTGAAGTTGTCAGTTGTCAGAGGTGCTTTGCTTATAGGAACCCCGTTCCTTCTCTAGATACACGTGTTGGAGAACTTCTAAGGGAGAAACAACGTCTTATTACTCAAGGAACCATGTCTCATGCAACTATTATTTCTGAGCCTACGATGGTTGCATATGCTGCTCAAAGTAAAGGTAAATGTCGTGATATGAGACAGGTTCAATGCTTCTCTTGCAAATAATTTGGACATTTTGCTCGTAGTTGCAGTAAGAAGTTTTGTAATTATTGCAAGCAGCAGAGACATTATCTCTGAGTGTCCCACACGTCCTCCACAACCAACACATTGTTTGGTATTGACATTCCATGCAACTACAAATTCTACAGTTGGTCATTCTAATAGTGGGGGTGGTACTATACATCCTGAACTGATTCAACAAATGGTACTTTCTGCTCTTTCGGCCTTGGGAATCCAAGGTAAGTTTTCTAATGTTTCTCAACGACGGTTTCTTGGTTTTGGTGCATCCAATCACATGACGGGTTCCTCTGAATACTTGCACAATTTACATTCTTATAATGGTAATCAGCAAATTCAAATTGCTGATGGTAATAAACTTTCTATCAGCGATGTTGGTGACATAAGCTCTAACTTTCGTGACGTGCTTGTATCACTCGGACTTGCTTCCAACTTATTGTCGGTTGGTCAATTGGTGGATAACAATTGCAATGCTACTTTTTTTTCGTGTTGGTTGTCTTGTGCAGGAGCAAGTGTCGGAGAAGGTGATCGCAATGGGGCCTAAAGTGAGAAGGTTGTTTCCGCTCCAATTTAGTTCTAGTCATTTATCTTTTGCTTGTAATAAAGTTTGAACTCTTATGAGGATTGACATAGAAAATTGGATCATCCAAATTCTATGGTTTTGTGTCATTTATTTAAAACTGGTTTGTTGGGATATAAACATGTTTGTACTGCTTCTATTTCATGTTCTGTTTGCAAATTGGCTAAAAGTAAAATACTTCCTTTCCTGTCCGTGCTCATCGTGCCTCCACTTGTTTTAAGATGATTCATAGTGATGCGTGTGTGGGTCTCTTGCAGCATCTCATGCTCACTATAAATATTTTGTCACATTTATTGATGACTACAGTCGTTTTACTTGAATATATTTTCTTTGATCTAAGCCTGAAGTGTTTTCTAAATTTCAAAAGTTTTTGACATATGTTGAAATTCAATTTCAAGTAAGTATTAAAATTTTTTGATCTGACTCTAGAGGTGAGTATATGTCTCATGAGTTTCAAGAGTACCTTCAACAAAAAGGCATCTCGTCTCAACGATCTTGTCCCAATACCCCCCAACAAAACGGGATGGCAGAGCGAAAGAATCGTCATTTGTTTGATGTAACACGCACCTTACTTCTTCAAGCATCTGTGCCATCTCGATTTTGGGTAGAGGCTCTTTTCACAGCCGTATTCTTGATCTATCGTCTTCCTTCTACGTTTATTGATTTTGGTTCTCCCTTCTTTCGTCTTTTTAAAACTCAGCCTACTCAGCCTGATTATAGTGATTTACATACTTTTGGATGTGTGTGTTTTGTTCACTTACCTCAGTTTGAAAGAAATAAGCTTGGAGCACAATCTATTCAATGTGGATTTATGGGGTATAACAACTCTCATAAGGGTTTTGTGTGTTATGATGTTTCTAATCACCGCTTTACCTCTGTTTGAAAGAAATAAGCTTGGAGCACAATCTATTCAATGTGGATTTATGGGGTATAACAACTCTCATAAGGGTTTTGTGTGTTATGATGTTTCTAATCACCGCTTTCGAGTTTCTAGGAATGTTACATTTTTTTATAATCAATATATGTTTCATTCTCTTTCTTCTGCCACAAATGATATTGCTATTCTTCCTAATTTTTCTTTTATGCCTCGATCTATAGAACGTTACAAACTAGGAATCACATATGCCAGACAACGCAGAAAATAGGTTTCCACTGCCCCTCCTGACACAGATCCACCACCTGATCCTGAACCGGTTGAACCACGATGTTCTGGTCGAATATCTAAAGCACCAGATAGATATTCACCAGACATGTATGATTCCTCACATACTTCTTTGACTGCCTCACTGTCTAACATATCTATTCCTACTTGTTATGCACAGGCTATTAAAGACGTGCGCTGGATAAAAGCAATGAATGAAGAACTTCAGGCTCTTCAAGAGAATTTTACATGGGACATTGTCTCTTGTCTCCCCGATTACAAACCCATAGGTTGCAAATGGGTGTATTCTGTGAAACGAATTATGATGGGTCTCTCAACCGTTTCAAGGCTTGATTGGTTGCCTTAGGAAATAAGCAGGAATATGAAATTGATTATGATGTGACATTTGCACCGGTTGGCAAAATGACATTTGTTCGTACGGTACTTTATATAGTTGCTTCTAACAGGTGGTCTCTTCATCAAATGGATGTGAAAAATGCTTTTCTTCATGGTGACCTGACGGAAGATATATATATATATATATATATATATATATATATATATATATATATATATATATATATATATATATATATATATATGACTACGGTTTATTCTCGTCATCTAAAGGTGTGTGCAAGCTCAAACGCTCCTTATAAGGTTTGAAACAAGCTCCTTATACGGTTTATTCTCGTCAGTATCAGTGTTATCAAATTGCGGCGCAATGGCCGCTATGGTGGATATATATACGGCGGTTTTTGAGCTTGCCGCAATGGTAAATATTGGCCGTTATTACGGGTTTTTCTGCCATAATGCGCAATAACAGCGCCGCGAAATGCCCAGTATGGCGGGATTTTGGCTCTCCGCCATGGACCGCCATTCGTCATCGACAACACTGGTCAGTATGATTCTTCTTTATTTATTCATAGAACGTCTACTCAAATTGTCCTACTGTATGTTGGTGATATGATTATTATTGGTTCTGATCATGCTTCGAATCAAAGCCTTAAACAACAATTACAAGCATCGTTTCGTATGAAAGATCTTGGTAATTTGCATTATTTTCTTCGTCTTGAGGTTCATTCAACATCCAAGGGTATATTCCTCCATTAACACAAGTATGCCACATATTTAATTTCTATGGCTGGTCTCCAATCGGCTAATCCAGTGGATACTCCTCTTGAGGTTAATGTTAAATATCATCGTGACGATGGTGATCTCTTGCCTGATTCCTTATTGTATCGTCAACTCTTTGGTAGCCTTAATTACTTGATTATTACTCGCCCTGACATATCTTTTGTTGTTCAATAAGTAAGTCAATTCATGCACTCTCCTCGTCATCTTCATTTGGCAGCAGTTCGTCGTATAATTTGCTACTTTAAGGGAAACTCTTATCGTGGTTTATTCTTCACCACTAGAACTGCTCATAAATTGAGTGCTTAGTGATGCTGATTGGGCAGGGTGTCCTGATACTCGACGATCTATCACTGGTTGGTGCATGTTTCTTGGCTCTTCATTGACCTCATGAAAAAGTGAGAAACAAGCGAG